TGCAGCTGTGAGGCAGTGCAGGGCTAGGTTCTCAACTGTGGGGTCGGGTCTTGTGAGGAGCCTGACGGCGTGGCTGATGACGCAGAGGTCAATGAGATCTGATAGTGGTAGGATCCCTGCCCCGCCCCAAGATGGCGGTAGAAACACTATTTCAGCAGAGGCCCTTTGGGAGAGATGCATAGTGGCTTTCACTCCTTTTTTGAGCATCTTGTCGGGGTTTTGAAAGTCTTTTTTCATAACTGTTGCTGACCCAAACGAGAAGTCAATTTGTGGTCTAATGAACGGTTTTAGTGCTGCTAACCTCTGCCAGGGCCAGGGGGCTAGGATCCCATGACATCGTGGGCTTCTGCGGTTATTCTGTTTATGGCTTCTGTAGGAGTTTGGTCGGCTTTAAAGCCGGTTGCCGGTTGGCCGGAGCGCAGGTGCTTGTGCCATTGATGTGGAATTTTGTTTGTCTGGCAGTTTTATTTTTGAGGTGGAGAGTTGCACATTTGGATGGTTTGAGGAGGCCCATCCATTCCGCTACTCTGTTTGCTACATCTAGGCTTTCTTGAAGTTGCTTAGCTTCTCTGTTGATAATGACTATGCCATCTGCATATCCAAGAGAGCAAACTGCTAGGTTGTGGATTATGTTGCCAGATGTAGCCTTGGAATTAATAGCTCTAAGCAATGCCTCCATGCAGATGTTGAACAGGGTTGGCGAGAGTGGGCAGCCTTGCCGAACTCCAGCTTTAAATTGGATGTCAGGTGTTGTACCTGATGCATCAACTATTAGCTCAAGGTCCCCCTCACTGATACCAGCCGTTGTAAGGGCGTAGTACAGTGTTTTGTGGGGGACGGACCCGAAGGTGTTGGTAAGGTCCAGCCATGCGGCTGTCATTTCTCCATTGGTTCTGCGGGTGTTATCGATGCAAGACTGAAGCACAAAGTTGTGTTCTATACACCCTTCATACGGCGGGAAACCCTTCTGGGACCAGGAGAGTATTTTTTGGGACTGTGCCCATTTGCAGGTACTGTCGGCCAGAATGCTGCACGGGCCTTTGACTATCGTATTTGAGAGTGCGATTGGCCTCCAGTTTGATGTATCTTTTTTGTCCCCTTTTCAGCTGAGCGATAGCGAAGCCTATTACTCCAGTGATGATCAAAAAGTTTCGCGTCTGTCTGTGTGTGTGTGTCTGTGTGTGTGTCTGTCGTCACGATAACTCGAGAACGAATTGAGCTAGCGACCTGGGATTATCAGGGTCGTTTTGTGTCATAGAAAGACAGATCGAGTTCGAAGATGAGCATTCTAGCTCAAAAATTGACTTTCAAAAAAATCAAAAACCCACAGGAGGCAAAATGTATTTTTTACCGAATACTTTTTTAGGGGTTCCTTAGGGGTAACTCGAGAAAATAGAAGTCTTCGGACGAAAATTTCGTCCGTTTTGCTCTATCTCGTACCGTTTGGGTGCTAGGAGGCATTTCTTGGCAAAAATAAGGTGAAAACGACCAAATGGTCTATAGGGTATTCCGCTACAACACAATCGGAACCTAAAAAAGAAAAGCATGACTTCCTGATCTGTTTCCTCCTGAACGCTGATTGGCCAGAGATGGCATGGTTGTGGCAGTCAGCCAATCAGCGCGCAGAGGGAAACAGATCGAGCAGTCATGCTTTTCTTCTTTAGGTTCCGGTTGGCTTACAGCGGAATACCCTATTAAGTCGTAAGAGAGGCCTTATATTGAAAAATTGTGCAGGAAGTAACACTAAAACCAACACAGTTGACGTCGAACCGCACCCTCCTTCAGGCTCACGGGTACCTAGATTATCAAGTATCACTAAAACGTTGTTTTTACAAAACAATCTGTCAAAATTCGAACCTTTCATGAAAACCGTTATGGAACAGCAGAAGTTTCATGTCCCTAATTTTAGAGTAATAAGCCCCCAACAAATGCTGTGAGTATATCAAATTTTGGGGCCGGAGGGCCCTGTTCCCGAATACCCTCCCATTAACTCGTCTCGGGTGTCGGCGCCGCAGGCCTAGCTACATGTGCGCCAGGCGCGTCGCAGCGTAACAGTGTTTCCTGAGATATCGCTCGGATATCGCGAAGCCTGTTACGCGTGACGTGGTCAGGCGTAGATATAGCTAGTAGATAAGTAGGGTTTTGAATTTTTTTCCAGGTTGGCGGGAGGAACTTTCCATATTTGAGGCATTGGTCGTAGATGTGGCAGAGCAGGTGGCCCCTTTTGCCCCTGTTTTTCCAGGTCTTATAAGGGATGCCATCTGGTCGAGGTGCAGTATTTTCAGCTTTCCTGAGGACGTCCTCGACCTCCTCTGGGGTGATGGGAACTCTCAATTATGATTGCTTTCCTGCTGTTGGGATGCTTGCTGAATCGAGCGGGGGTGGACCTTCGCACCCAGATCGATCGGCATACGAGTCCCTGAAGTGAGCCTCAATTTCGCTAGGGGTGATGTCGCAGACGGCCTTGTCCTCGTAACGGATTTGGCTCATTGCAGCCTTTGGGTTCTTGGTGTAGGGCCTCAGGATCTTGTCTGCTTCAGTCCGATTGGTCTTGTAATCAGATGGGTTTTGCCCATTGGGCTTTTTTGGTTTGGGCCTTGGTTTAGGGGGCTGAGCCACGGGGGGTTGAGGGATTCCGTGAGCGAGTTAAGAGTCTCTAGGAATTGCTCCCAGTTGTTGGCTTTAGAGTATTTCTCATCCCATGAGGACTGCCATTTTGTGAGGCTGGATCCAAGTGATGAGTCTGGCACCGGGGTTGCTGGTAGTTCAAGCTCAATATCGCAAGAGAGAGAGAGAGTTATTGGCTGAGCGTTAGCGAAGCCTTTGCTGTCATGAGGTGCAGGGAACTCTTTGGTTGTGTGTCTGTATGTCTGTCTGTCTGTCTGTCTATCTGAAATCACACACGTTTCTCAAAGACGGCAACTTCAATTGACTTCAAACTGCGCACGAAGCATCAGTATAAGTCGAGACGTAAC